AGAGCAAGTCATCATTCTTCATACCTTTGTTTGCGCGGACATTAAGCCAATTCAATTCAAATATTCATAAGGTAATGGGAACGCCTAACCTGCGTAAGGGTATTCACCTTCCGAGCTTGATGCTTTTTCACGCTGCCTACATATCGTACATTAAATCCCGTTCTAATTTGTCAATGACAAGTTGATGTTTTCTTGCCCTTTCAATGTACCTAGTCTCCCGATTTCAAAAGCTGTCAGTTAAGCGTCGAAATTTTTTTTTTTCTCATTAAGCAGGGATTTTAATAAAATGACTTCTAATAAATAGTGAAGCAGTGTGAAACGCTACCTTAAAGATTTTTCGTATACCGAACGGGGAAACGCTTATTCGCGCCAGATGGGTCTCAGACCCACCGTAGGTGTTTGCTTTCGTGTGAAAATAGGGATTTTCGCGTTAGCCTTATTTGTCAATTTCTACTCTAAATAAAGATTCTTTGGTGTTTACGCTTTCATGAGATAAATTTGCTATTCCTTCTACTTGATCCTTTACGTCTCCATTTAAAGCATTGCTTAAATTTTCAAAGGTTTTTTGGGATTTATCGTTCAGAAATATCCCATCCATCCTTTATTAATTAATCCATTATAGCATGTCGCAGATACAAATCAGAGCAGAAGTGGGTCAACTATTCTAATGCTGAATAGGGATTTAGGCATGCTTACAATCCGTATCGATGTAATACTGCCCATACGGTTGCTGAGTCGTATATGAAGATGCCAACCCTAACGTGATACTGTACGAGGGTATGCCATTTGCGCTGATTTGGATGATTTATGCACTTTTGAGTTTGGCGCAAGCAAAGGTAAAAAAACACGTCTGCCTGATCTGAGTGATGTATTGATGTCTTGATTTGCCAGTAAGTGGACACACCACAACCGAGACTAATATATTTCATCTGAGTGAACTCTGTTTACGTCACCGAACCAGAATAGACTGACCAGAAGGGATGCCTGGTCTGTTAAACGTAAAATTTAAACCACAGAGTTCTCATTTTTGTGAAGCTTTTTCACAGCTTATTTAGGTCTTTCCAATATTTCCCATATTGTTATATAGGTTGCAAACTCAAAATGCACTTCGTTTTACAACGCCTCTAGTTAAGTAGAACTAAGAAATTTATTTATGAATAAATTACTTACATTTAATTTTCCTAGACTAATAAAATACAAGGTTTATATCACATAAGTTTGGCGTTGTCTAAAAAGGCCAATCCAATTCCCATAGAGCGACGAGATTGTAAATAAACTGCAGTATTCGTTCAAGTCCGCTTCGCACGGTGAGTAAACACATTATCGGTATGACCAAGGTGAGAAAGTGGGAGATTTTGACTTTAATAAATATCAAGCAGAAAGGCAGCTGTGCCTTTTAGTTTTCGACGTGCAGGCGATGCTTCGGTTGATGATAGAGGTTACCCTAGTTTGCCTTTTTATGAAAATACTTTATCAAAAGACACAGTCAATCAACTTCAGCTGATAAATTTCAACTGACCACCGGTCGATAAGCACACATCTTATTTAAAATTGAGGAATATTTGTGTATTTCAGGCTGACACCAATAACTGAACTGCCTCTCGTGGGAATACGCATCGCACATAAGTGGCTCAGTGCATCCTTTGCATAAATTAAGACTTCATTTGACAAACGTTTTTATCACAAATTGTTGATGCTCTCCTGATTTATCTTGACCCTTCTTCTTCAACATCATGCTGTCCTAATTTTCAGATTATAGAAACTAGTGGAAAGTTACATCCTGTTCGGTATGGAACTGTTCCATGTCCAGGTGACCCAATTTTAGCCCCCACTTAGGATAGGCACTGGTGCAACCTATACCTAATCGTAGTCCTAAATACTGTAGGACTGAGGTTAAAATTCGGGCAAGAAAATTTGGAAGGCATTGTTTACAAAGGGAAAACTTCCCTGTTCTGCACAAAAAGGGAAATTCCCATTCTTCAAACGCACAATGATTGGTAATACGACTTGATTTATTCTAATTTGTTTACTTAGAAAATTGTCAGATCACTTCCTCTTTCATACAGAATCTCCACTTTTTAGCTTAATACATTATAAGTATATTTCAGCAATGAGAATTTACTACTGTAGATCTCACAAAAAGTAACGCGCATTGAAAGTTAATGTTTTGGCTCTCGCAGACGAAGGGAAATGAACTTCTTATTTTTGGCAAAATAAATACACCTTCTAAGGGCTTGTGGGGGAGTCGAAGCCACAAGCCCAAATAGCCTTGTTTATTGGGGGTTAAGGCATAAATAAGTATTTAACCACCACGGCTATAGGCGGAATCGTAAATGCGTTATGTACGACTATTGGTGCCGTGTAATGCATGCGGTTAGGGTCCACCAATAACGGTATCACTGTAAATCTTTGTCAATGATGTTGGGTTTATTCCGGTGGTTTTATGAGCAGGTAGTCACTTGGTAAGTCATGAAAATTATCATTACAACCCCATGCCACTGCGTCTGGTGAAAGTGGCTTGATAATTTGTTACCTTGTAATCGTTGCTATAGTTTAGTGATGAATAAAAGTAGCATCTGAGAAGTCAGGAAAGTGTTAATCTGTGACGGCGCCCACGTTCGGCCCCATCAACCAGACTCACTTTTTGCAACAAAGGACGACTAAATAGAATAAGGTTTATTCAAACGAGTTTTTACTGCAACTCTTCAATGCTGTCAGCAGAACGCTTGCGCTATAGACTCTCTTTTGTTAACACAGTCACGGGGATGGCTGCCCAGACTGAAAACAAACTGTATTTGTCACTCGCAGTCACTCTTACAAATTCACACGTCCACTACTGCAATGGTAAGGGTGGAAGGGGTATAGCGTGTAACATGGGGAGACTTGCAGATGCTACTTTGCCAGCTCATTTGGTTGAGATGACGCATAGTGAGGAAATTAATCGTCACTACATTTCATTAAAACAACGATATAAAGTATCAGATTGACTTCACACTGGCTTAAAATCATGAATTTCCCGGCTATGATCTCCCCTTATCTCATGGCTCGGAGGTATATTCCACTAAAGATTACTAGGCCGCACATATTATTGAACCATAAATTCCTTTTCAAAATTCAGGATGGCTTTGTAAATGATAAACCTGGGCTGCTTCTTCTTTACGGTCCTCAAGGGTGATTGACGAAATATCGAGTTTTGTGCGTATGTACAACTTCTTGATCTTTAAACATGTTGGTATTTCGTCTAATTCCAAAACACCAGACACTAACTTTCATCTAAAACTGGTCTAATAAAACTCCGTACACTGCCAGCCATTTCCGCATCAAGATTTAGGCGAAAACTGAAGTTTGATTTTGGAGCTGTCGGCTGTGTTCTATTTTAAAGAACTTAAATGAATGGTTTGATGTGCCCAGGATGAGAAAATCCTTTACTAGTGGGTAGTGAAAGCAAAAAACGTCGAAAAGTCATTCTTTTACGGATCTCTCCTTAAACATTAATCCCATAAGAAATTACCCTCCATGTCCTTTTTTGTTTTTATTTGTTCAAATCTTGCACAATAATGCAAATTTCAAAGTGTCATTCCCTTAGTCTCATTCAGCTGTGGAGAAGTAATAAAAGCAGCCTAAAATCTTTCCGATAAATCATATCATTTGGAACTCCAAAAACCGTTCGAAAATGATGGAAATACATGGTCAAAATCCTAAAAATGTGGATTGCATATACAGCTTTCCATCATACAAAAGGAATAGTGGCCCACTACCTTCAGTCCTGCTTGTGGGTGGCCGCTGGTCGACATTTACTATTTGACCGTGGAGGACGTGGAGAAGGAATAAGAGTAGAGGAAGGCGAATGTATTACGAATGTTTAGGATTTTCTCGGAATCGGGACCACCCAGTAATTGTTACTGCAGAGTTAAAGTCATACTGTTGTTACGTAAAAGGCATAGTTTACTCTGTGTGTGCAACATCCATCTCAGACCATAAAACATAAAATTTTAGTTTTGTGGGGAGTTTAAATAAACAGCCTAGTTGGTATTCTTTTACATCTTTATTATTTTCAAAATAGTTTCCGGGTAAAGAAATGCAGAGGTCCAAGAACTGCTGTGTTCTTTTCTCGATGATACATGCAAATTGTAATTACCATGACCCAAACTTACCAACCGCTTAGGAGCATTTGCGGTCTATTTGACTGGAGACACGTGAAGAAACACTAATAGAAATACCATTTTTACAAAATCATTGAGTAGTTTTTAAAAATCCGATTAGGCTAGCCTCGACCTCGGTGTGAGAGGGATCTGAAACACAATTAAAAGGCTGTTATGAAGTGTCAGTACCAGTCACATGCGCTCATGCACACGTTTTCTCTCACGGGTTCCAGCGCATCCACAGTTGACACTTCAACGTGGCGCGCTAACTTGTCACATATCGACGGACGTCTTTGTGTACGAGCATTTGTGTGTGCGCATGTTGATGTGTTGCGCCGTCCAACACTGTGGGAGTTTCTCAATAAAAAGGCGGCGAAAAACACTCACAATTGACCAAAAATTAGGCTCTTCCTTGCGTTTCCGGTGCGATTAATATCTAGTGGTGGGTGGGACCTTTTTCTCTATTCCCGTGATGTGTCTAGACACCGTAGTACCATTCACAATTTTCCTTTCCATTATTTAGGCCTGCTTAAGGCATCGGGTTTCACCTGTGCCACTGAATTTGCGGTCAATTTAAATGAGCTATCAAAGAGCAATAAAATGTCTGGTAAAATTTTGAATATAGGACAACTGGTTTTGTGTTTCTAGGTTCATCAAGACAGACAAATATTTACTTTTCGTTCCATTATTTATGCCTTTAACATTGGAGCGTTTAGTTCACATTGAGCGTTTCCGAGGTGATCCACCTTTTTGCGCACATCCTTACCTCGAGCATCGCTTTTTAACGATAATGACAATCACCTAGCGGCGTCAATCAATGCGAGCCACCACCACGAGTGTTTATGTTGGTGCGACTGAATGGCATCATTAAAAGTAGGCAAATATGCTGCTTCCTTTACATTTTCAAAGTCGAATGATCGTATTCGCAAATTCTTCCAATCAAATCAACTGTCATCCTATCTTAGAACAGAAAACTAAATCACACCTAAACGCACTATCCTCTTATGGAAAACTAGTGTAACTTTTGTACGACTCAACTCACTAGTACCTAATTTTATATTACTTTTTTTTGCTGAAATGCATGAAGTAGATGCGAAATTAGTACTTCAATATCACTTTGAGTTTAAATGACGAAAAATGAGTCTTTTGCAACCATGGGTAATATATCAAATATTCCATGTTCGATGTGAATCTTAGTAGCATTTAACACAAAATATTATATTCTATTAGTTTAATTTCTTTATTTGGGGTAGTAAATCAATCAAAGGATAGTTGTAATTTAAATTCAAATCTAACTCTCGCTACGTTACCATCCAACTTGATTCACTAATGTCGGATATACTGATTACGGACACTGAGGGATTGGACATAAAACACTAACCCTGATTGCGCATTTTCAAGGGATGATTAATGAACTTCTTCGATCATCGAATGCATAATAAATGTTTTCACTAGAGCTAAGTCCATGAGTATTGCGTGTGAATTTGTGCATTTTATGATGCGAGCGGCCCCTCCCTAGGGCTAAACATTAGGCCCCCGGATCTCTGACCAAATTGATTAAGTGCGCACAAGAGGGTGGAGCTATTTGATGAGTTTTTGATCACTTTGAATCACTTTTCTAAGTGAGGTGAAAAGTATCTTTATCAAACTTTCAGGACTGTGCTTCCGCTCCAACGCTAGAAGTACTGCCTTGGTGTATATGAGGGGCAACAAGACCAGCTAACACTCCGCAGTAATTTGTGTGCAGTCGCAACTCTGGCCATTATGTCTTCATGCTGCTAAAGGCTTCCGCCCAGGGAACAAGGCACGGTCACACACTTTAGAATCGTTTTGTATAATTACATAAAATAAGTAAGAAACAAGCGTTTTTCCTACTATTACTTTGTGTCCTGTGGGAATGGTTGCTTGGCTAAACAGGCGTATGCTTTTGCAGCAATCGCACGGAACTGGAAAAATGCATGTTGAATCGGCTTTTCGCGCGTGTCAATTGAGAACGCAAAAGTACACCGGCAACAAGTGACCCTGATGGAAATGTTCAAATCTGCTAAAGTACATGACTTTGATGCAGTTTGGGCAATGAAAATTTCAAAATAAATATTTTAAACCGTTTCCATGTAATGTCACGCAATAAAGTCCAATCTGTAGCTGAAGTGCCTTAAATCGATAGCCTGATGGAAGGCGATCACTGATAATGTGCAATCACAACTGCATCTCTCCTACATAAAGGGGGCACAAATGGGTTCCCTCTCACCCAAAGCTCACCCTTCCAGCTTCTCGGAGGTTAAATTCTCGCATCCTGATTCCTGCCGTTGATATACGAAGACTGTTTCATTCTAAAAATTCAATTTTTTTCCATAACAGATCTTCTTCAACTGCGAACACCACGCAATGGAATCGAGTAATATTTAGTTAACTTTTTGGCATTTATCCTAAATACAATATCTCTACTTGTATCATCAAGCTGGTTTATTACTACATGTGGCTATTTTTCTGTGCAAAATTGCATATTTATCCGAGAGGTAAGGATAAGTAATTTGAAGGTAAATGTGCATACGGTGGAGTTATGGAAACAGCAACTCCTTATCTTGCTAAGTCACTGGTCAATTCTTTCTGACAGCGCTAATGACTCTCGAGTCATTCAAAGTATTTGAATAAACAAATAAATGAGCATAAAGAAGGAGCACTCATGACCAAATGTGTCAAACATTTGCCTGGAAGAAGGGGGTTCAAGGTTTAAGACTCATCTTAAAATGTAAATTTCGATTAGCATAGCCTTTTTTGCCTTTTCATGTCAACTAGAACGCCACCTTGTCGTCTATAGAGCGAATCCGAACCGCATATATACTTATTTTGTTAAAAATACCAAAAACTATTCTCCAACTCGACTGAATACGAAATTTTCAAAAACTTTTTATTCAAACATACGCATAATAAGTGGTTATTTTGCTCACAAGGGTCTTAGAAGGCAGGTTATGCCTATTAAATATTTAAAATCTTTAAGTAAAGGGAAAGTCTCATGAGTATTTTTAGAAAACGCGGTGATATAAGTAGGGCTAACAAATGTATATGCGAACGATTGGTTGGGAATTATCACCCTCTCCGCGTTAGTTTTATTCCTATCATAATAGGAAATGAATTGCGCCTAGAGGTATGTGCCCCAACGGACATATTTCTCCTTCGCTGGCAATTAAGACACCCGACTTTGGAAAATACTAGGGAAATAAATCGGATTCTCTGTATCGAAAAAGCAGCTCAAGCCGTACAGTTCTTAAAAATCTCCACTGATCTGATCAGGTATGCATTTAAAATAAAAGTTTTTCTTTAATGATTTTGATTGTCACTTTCTAGGCAAAAACGATGTTAAAGTTCTTATGTACGCAAATGTTACCTTTGAGTGTGGGAAAATTCTAAGCATGATTATTATTTCATCAGAAAGGAATTTTAATTTACTCTTGAGTAAAACGATCCATATCATGTTTTGAAATAAATTGTTGGATCATTTCCTAACAAATACTTTAATTTAGGTAGTTCTACAACATTGTGATGCTGAACAAATCACTCTCTAAGGGCAAGATTTTGGTCACAACACAGAAAAAGCAAATACAGGTCAGTATGACAGGTTGGTTAGGGGATAGAACTAGACAGTTTGATTTTTATCAAGATATGTATTTTCCGCTACTGAATGGGTCATGTTACTGTAGCTGATCAAAGATCTAGGCGAGGAAGACCTATAATGCATTCAGCTGTAAGAAATGGAGCATAGATAAATTATTGCGTTCGTGAAACTAGTTCTGGAGTTAGAATGATCCTCCATTTTTCTTAATGTTTGTAATTTAACAATTCCAACTGTATCATCGTTTCTTTGGTAATTATTGACGAAGCAACGCCGTGGATGCGCAATGCTTTATCACCGTTGCAGAAATAATTGTTTCAAGCAGATTCCTACTGTTGATTTCTAGCAACATTTGCAGTCGTTGATCACTTTTAACCAGGACCACAGCAAGCGTCATTGAATTGCAAAATACAATGCAATTAGTAGTACAATGTTGTCCATAAATCGTCGATTTTGGTTTAAGTTTCGTATTAACAGGTTTTAGAGATATCAAAGCTGAACTTCAGTGGAATTCCTTACTTTAAGGCATTTTTGATATGGAGACAGCCTTGGATATCAACGGATGAGCCAAATAAATTCTTTTAAATACACTTCATTATGAGGGATTTTATGTCATTTATAGTAATAAAATTACGAATCCAACCCATCGCCTGATCTTTCATTTCCATTTACGTACAATGTAGAGCATAATAAGTATGCGTCTACATGGTAATGCTCGGAGGGATATATCCAATCCTTTGACTAATGGGAGATCGCCTGTGCATTTTCTCGCCTAACGAGGTAGCAAATATCAGCAAACTTAATCAGCTGCACTACGCCACCTACATGTTGCTGGTTTTGCTAAGTCGATGGTTGTGGATGCGTTTGAAATCATCTCAACTTCGACTATTTACTTCTTTGTGACCTTTCATCGAAGTCTGTGAACATTCACCAACAGGTTCATAATCAGCACTAGTATGATTACAAAGGGCACAAAACACGCACTCGATGTTCGGACAACCGAGTTTGAGACTTAAGCACTACTGACTGATTCGGAAATAAACATCGAATGGCAGTTTTCGAGATGTTTCCTTATGGAGAAAACCAGATATTTTGTTGGCAATGTATAAAAATGGATAGCAAATTTGGGGGATAATTTACTGGCAGCCACCAACTAGGGCTTCGTAGGTAGTAACTCTGCCTATTTATAATGGAGGAGTTTTGATTTGGGCTTTAAAAGTGCTAACGACGCATCACCCACTGGCCCAACGTCGTGTCGGATGAGGTAGCTTCCTGTTGTTCTTCCAAACGGAGACTGTATACGTTCTCTGATTTGTGTAAACTAGATAAGAGAAGAAAATATTATCTTTTAATGCTCGGAGTTGTCCATTCCGATGGAATTTGCACTCTTTCGGCCTATATTAAGGCATTCTGAATGACCAAGTAGCTGAAATGAATCAACTCGTACTTCAGTGTACCAGTTATTGTTGCGACCAAATCCATAATCATTTAATATTATATCCAAGAAGGAAAAAAATAAATGAGCAAAATTGCAATGTATTTATCCTACGCTTACTTTGTATACTATTGTGCTTATATCTTTGGAACTTCTTAGTAGGTCGAATAAAACGCTTACTTTCTGTTCAGCTGTCATTGAATGAATGGACCAAAAACAACCCACAACCGATGTAAATACAAATAAAAATCAGAGTGATATCGTCCTATTAGATGACGAATGGCTCAGTGTTTGTATAACTATTGGCTGCTCCTTGACCAATCAGGATGCGCAGGTCTTCAGATGACCAATGGAAGGAGAGCAAAGCTGTTATCATGACACTCGGGAACGCGCGCTGTAGTCCACCATTAATCAGAATCGTCAGCTCACTGGACGGGTCAGCGAGTGGATATAGGCTAAACGAAGCGAAATTGCTGCGGTTTGGAGCCGTAACGCTTCTTTGTGGTAAGTCATCTTTGCTATGTCCCCATGCCCGTAACTAATCAGCGAGTTTTAACTGATGGTTTGAAAATGTGCGTAGCTCTTACTGCGTATAATTTTTACTTTGATGTATTCTCCGCTAGTTTAAACTCAAGTTTCTAGGTAGCCTGCCTATCGTTCAAAACCGCATCAATCTCTACTATTAGAAGCCACAAGCTTAGTTATAGAGCTAAGACATATATAGGCGTCTCGATGCCTCAAATTTCTGCATTATGTTTAGAAAGCAGTGGTTTTAGCTTCCAACAAAAGCGTTGTGGTTATAATTACTCCCCAGGAATCATTGAACTTAAAAGTGCATAGTGCATACCTCCCTTTGTCAAATAATTTATTGAACGAATTCAAGCCTTTTGACTCAAAAACGCCGCAGAGATACGTTAAAAAAGTCACTTTAGCAAATGTTAACTCTCAAATAGATCAGTCAGAAACAGTGGCTGGTTTCGGTATTGCGCTGTTGAAGTGCTGAATTCTATAATTCAGTATACAGAAGAACGGTATAACACGGCTGAAACATGTTTGGATTTTATTTGCTCGGGGGCATTGTATGGCTCCTTGAGGCGGAGCACTCTACCCCCATGGCCATTCCCCGCCTCCTACAATAGCGATTTTCTCTAGGGTTTCCTATTCTTGCAAATTTTTAACCTTAACTTTCAGCTCAAGATTGTCTTTGTGACTCATTGGAATCGCTTTACATGGGAAAGCTCCTAGGCTGCATTTTCGTCGGGTTTTAACTGTAAATAGTCGTGTTTTATTTCAAAAAGGCAGTGCCTCGGTCACCTATTTCACAAATTATTTCAGCGTTTACATTTTACCTTCAAATGGCAAGGTTAACCCCCTACTCCAGTTTAATGACTTCAGTTGTGTACACAATACGGATAGTCTTGCTCCTGATGTGATTCCACAACGATTTATGTTTGTACATCGTGTTCTCATTACATTTTACTACCTCCCCTCTCCACCATCCAATCATTCTTGGTTGAACATGTCAATGTGGATGTGGCCAAAGTCCACTAAGGCGTGTATTTACTCAGTGCTGTTCCCTCAACTCATTGAATTGGGGGCGCAATCACTTCTGTGCACAGTAGTACCAACCGGCTTGCGAAAATATGTTGCTCTTATTCGCAACTTGATGTGGGATTGATGCCTCATTCACTAGTGTCCTTACAGCCCATAATTCCAATCAAGTTATTAAACACTTTTTATTGCTGAATTCGAGATTGAAGTGCCCGGTTTATGTCATATCTCACTAATTTCCTTTTGATTCTCTCCATCCAGGTGTATGTGTGCTTGCATTTTCCAATTGCGCTCCGCGTTCTTTAGGGATAATTGCGCTCATTGGGTTATGACCTTCCATCCATCCAGCCGGTGGCCCTGACTGCGTCACTCCCGGTCGGCTGCAAGTTTGTGTGCTCAGGCGTATGCATTCGCATTTAATAATTGCATACACAGGTCCACACCTGCACACACTCCATACAGACACATTGTGAGTGTTTAATTACCAGTGAAGACGCAGGCATGGGTCTGTGCATTTACCTGGCCCTAGTTTGATTCATATTTCCGCAAGTTCAAAGGCTTGCCGCCAGATTCAGGCGCAGTGGAGAGCCTTTGCATAAAACCGGAGTGATGTGTGCAACATTGTCACGAGTTTGCTCGTTCGCTAGCGCGCATACTGGCACAGCGGTTAGACGCGTTTCTTCCCTGTCCGGAGGGGTAGGGATAGGAGTGAGTTCACAAGTGTGCTTGGTGAGGGCAATTTATGACTACTGCGCGGCTAATGGGTTGACGCTGCGAAGCTGACGAGGTGCGGGTGTGTGTGCGTGTGACTACTAACTGACCTCTCTGAGAAATAGCAGGAATTGCTCACCTCGCCTTCCTTCCTTCCACCGTGAGTCACTCGCTTGGGTCACAAAGTGAGTAGATGGCGATGCAATAAAATCTCCCAGCAGTGGTTTTTCCAGCCCAGTTTAATGCTTTGCCCAAAATTTGATAAAATCGCAATATCATTCCGCTAGTTTACAACTGCGGTCCACGGATTATCCTAAACAACCAACCAATTTCGTAAGTCGACCGAAAGCATATGTACGATGCGTATGTTGCCTGATATAATAGTCTTTCAGTGAAATTCAATGTAGCATCGAGTATTTCGGGCCCTGCATGTGACCAGCGTTGGTGGTGGTGGGGGCAGGGGATGCAGGAATACAAGTGTGACTACCCTGTTCCATGACTAGGCTTGAACTGTGTCTGGAGCAGCGGTGCTACATACGTAAACCACGTCAGTGCGCAGAACGTCGTGTGGAGGGCCAGCCGCTGTTTACATGAGGCTCTTATAAATTAATTCAGCCCCAGTTAAATGCCACTCTTGGTATAACACGGCATTCCATGTGCGGTCTCACCGCTCGCATTGCCTTGCCACGCACGATTTCCTGTGCCACCCTAGAACTCCAATACCTAAGAAATTTGGAAACTGTCCTCCTTTTCCATATTCAAGCTTTGACGGTGTTTTCAGCCTAGTAAACTAGATAAATCTCGTCAGCTCCATTTTCTTGGTATTCCAAACGGTGTATGTGAAATGGGGTGGAAAATGTTATAATTGCGCGGAAGTGGATCTCAAGAAGTCCAAACTTTGAGTTTTCGTGATTGAAAAGTTTTTTTGCTCACTTGTAAATCCGGTAAGCTCACTAGTTTTGACGATTTTAATGCATACATAAAACAACCAATGAACCACTGATCATGCGAGTTCCGCTTTGCTGGTTGGAGCACTTGTACAGCATAGTATGCTCTAAGACTGTGTTTGCGCACCACTTCTTGGTTTTAATTCACAAGAATTTCTCTTATTAAAGCATTGGGGCTTAACTTCTGTCATCGTCCTCTACACTTTCACTCATTCGAATCCTAACTAATCATCACGTGGAGGAGAACGTCTGCTTGATGCAAGGGTCAGGGCCCTCGCTTCTTTGGTACTGTTTTCTTTGAAGGTTACTGTAGTTTTGTTAAATGCCAAGATCTGATATTTTTATATCATTAACTGCGTTAGTTTTGAACGCTCTGGCCTTGTCAGAGTGATAACATGAATCATGAATCTTAATGTCCTTTTCAGAGGTGCCAATTTACTTTAGGCATGACTAACACCCACATCTGTCTGCGTATGCACCAATTAGCTTACCAACCGCGCCCCACTTTAGCACAATTTCAACTCCCCATAGGGGGTGTCACACGGTGGGAGCAGTGATAGCCTATTCTGTGTGAAAACCAGTATTCAGAAGACCTTGGTGAGACGACACATTGGCGGCCTCCCCACTAGTCGCCAATTTCAGGTCAACATTGAGGGAGCAGAGGTATTGGTGCTTGCAGGAGGGGTAGGCGAGAGGTTTGGTGCCTTCCCGCTGTGTGATCCTCCTCCATTCTCCCACCACCTGGTCTTATGGAGGCATCTCTACAATCCACATTTTCACTGTAGTAGGAACCTGGCAACTACGTTTCTTCCCCATCTACCACTTGAAATTCCCTCATTTTTATGGCTTTAATGTCGTTCCCGCATTTTGTTTCAGATTCGGAAGTGTGTCAGCGCGGGTAATTGTGATTATGAATATGGAAGAAGTAACCGCATTCACTAGATAGAATATATAATTTGATCGCTTCCGTTACTTTTCCCCATTTGATAATGACCTTCCAACTGCTACCTCTTTCAGTTGCAGAACTATTTTTTTTTCTTTGGCGGTGGCCTTTCAAGTGTGAAGTCTGCACACATTCCCCTTCCTTAGAACGTTTCCCTCATCCTCGCGTTCTTGCTGATTCTCACGACACCACATCAATGGGATGTTTTGTTCCCACTTCCACGAAAACCTAGCTCTGTTTGTTAGTACTCTGTAAATTCCAACGGAAGTAGCATTTATGTAGTCACGATAGCAATCATCTGAAAGAATTTTCAAAAGTGCTATCCAACAGTTGAAGATTTTTTGACACGATGGCAGTCTTTTACAGCCCCTCCCCAATGTTCAATGCCGCAAACAACGTATTTTGACATACATTTCGACAATGCACCCTAACAATGCTGTTGTCTAGGTATGTGAATATCAAATACACACGCTGACACCAGGTGTTTCTGCGGTGGCCTTGGCCAAGGGACACGAGAGTGTTCCAGATTACACCCAGTCTCTATTTGTCCCACCGGGCGCGTGTCCCACTTTGTCTCGATTCTAAGCATAAATTTGGTCAGCACTAGACACCGTGTGGAGAAATATTGAGCCGATACTTTGGCGCGCTGATTCTCACGCAGTACTCGAACGCTGAATCATCTTTGCAGACGGACGCAAGGGACGTTTTCGCGTAGAGCTTCTAAGATGGCAGGCATACTTTCTTTTTGCATCTTGTTCGCGCGGGCTTGTCAAAGGTCAAAACTCATTATTTGTTCAACGAACTCGTTTACGCCCATTTAAAAGGGAAGGCTTCAAACAGTCGACTTTGTATCTGAGGTGATTGGTTGATTTTATCCTTGAAGTATACCTCGTGGTTTACACTGCGTGCGATTTCAGCTTAGACTTAAAAATGGCATCTTCAAAGGATGGGTCTACCACCTCTTTAATCAACTTTGGTCGAAGAAAGTCCACACTTCTCTTGTTCGGAGAACAGTGCTGCAAAACTCAAACGAGTGGAATTGCCTTCACGTTGAATATTACTTGCCATTCATAAACTGCTGCTATCAGCCATTAATAATGCGTGCTTTTGTTGTCAACATGGTCTGATTTGCATTTCTGTTCCATTTATGGTCAGCTAGTGCTATTTGCGATGAATGCTTCTTCGGAGCACTTATGTCGGGCAAATTTAGAACTGAAAAACGCTTGGAGAACTGTCATTCTACCATCTTAGTCGTCTCATCACCTTAGACATAATATGGTTTGGCTCGTGACCAAGTGAGGCAAGCAAGGATGTGATGCACTTCTAAATTGTTATTGTTTTTCATAAGGGGCTCTTATTTGTGTGTGTAGTTCCGCCTTGGACCCGTGTGAATAATCCAAATAAACATGAATCAAGCTGGGACTTACCGCCATCCCTAGCCTCGGCGACGGTTACACGCCATCTTTGAAGTTTGCCTTATGGCCGTTTACACACCTAGCTTTGGTAATTTTTTATGTAGCTGATGGGAATTGGTCCCGGTCTCGTGAAAAGAGTATACTTTATTGAAAAGGAGCTGTTATCAAGCCTAATCGGAGTCTGATTTCGCTTGATCTCAGCAACCTAGCTTGCGCAATCGGAGTAAAAACCAAATTTATGTTTTGCCACAACTTTACTTCATGGCGTACTGGAGCTTGTTCTATCAATCTCCATCGCTGATCCACCGAAACTTACGCTTTGCATAATATGTGGGCACTGTGTTGTTAATCCTCACTAACATTTTTGCATCTATTCCCTATCAACGAGTGATTACAGGTTTCTTTGTGCATGAGAACGGAGCCACTACATGTCGGTGCAAGGCACTGCCAAGGTTTTTCCTTAGTCGAACTTTTCCCCCTCATACCCTATCCTCCGAAGCAAAGGGGAACAAACTTCAAGAAAAACTCTACTCTTTGCGTAGAATTTTCAGTTTCGTTTTCTTCTTGGGACCAGGAGCTCATGCAAATTCGGGATTAGTGGTGAAGTTTAATGTTTCTACCAGTCCCTAACCATAATATAAAATGTGTGGATAAATATACTTTTCAGATGTTTTGTCTCTTGCTTAATTGACACGCAAGATGACATGAAATTGCCTTTAAATGGCTGTAACGGTGGTTACTGTACATTTTTCGGTATCTATCGTGTGCAATAAACTCACCTTTTTAGCAAAATATCCTAACTTCAACATCCGCACTAAACTTGAAATTGAAAAATACCGGTCACACAGGCTTATTCAATTTCCTTTTTATACCTACCTATGAATATGTTCAGCAATACACCTAAAAGCAATAAACGGGACATCAATTAGTTCGACAGTGGTGTCTTATTGACAATAGCTCATAGTTCTCCAAAATTATGTGTGCGATGGAGACAGACCGTGTAGATTCTCTACAAAATGGCAGTAAATTTATTTTCGTCTTTGGACAACATGTCTGATAGAAGGGGCATATGACTCGTGGAATGCTGGCAGAGGGCAAGAAGACAGGCCGGGACAGAGGAGTGACGTACTTGCACACCTAAACACACTCATGGAGAGAGATTTTCCTACACGCTTCAGTTATTTTTCAGTGAAATAGTGGCGTGTGTGTGTGCGTTTAAAACTGGGAAGACCTCCAACTGACTCACTTTCCGGCCTGCGTGCACATACTCGCCTCCTCTAAATTGCTTTGCTATCCCGGTGATGGCAATGGTGCTGTGTGTGCTTGGGAGATCGCCTAGCTTGGCAGATTAACACGTATTCACCATATGTCTAGGTGTACGGCCTACTTTTTGTATCTCCCGACCTATGGTAATATTCTTCCAACCATTCTGTCTACCTTCCTCCGACAACTTACCCTAGTTTGTATAAAGTTGCATCTTTAAATAAAAGTGCATAGACCTTATTTTATGCATTCACCCATGCGTCGTTTTAACGGTTTTACCAAAGTACTAAAGCTGGAATTGTAATTTATTAAACATTCATCCTGCTTTAAATCAGCGGACCTCCATGTTTAAAATGTCACCAGTCTTTTCACCAAAAATGTCCACGCTTACTCGGGCTCGATGACTTGCTCATCACTCCGACCTGTTTTCACGTGTTAGTCACAGGCAATCATTTGCATAAATTTTCTTTCTCTACGTAAGTTTTGATCAGCGTATTTTGTTGATGTCTATCATGCCCAGGAAGCTACTATTATTCATTGTTGTACTTTTGTGTGGCAGAAATGCAGTAGGCATCTCTTGTTCCAATCTACTAAACATCAACTTTCTTTATTCAGAAGAGACCTGAAAGATCCAGTGGATTATGCTGTCTTGCCCGGTCCAACGTTTTACATTTACTTCCCTTTCTATACAGGCAGCAGCCTCATTCAGTTTGCAAGTGATTCATATCACCAAGGCATCATTTGTACTTCTTCAATCAGTTGCTACAGTAAAAGCTTCTATCAAATAACGCCGTGCGGCCGAATTTTTAGTCGTTTTCACCCACTGGTTTTGTGAACAGCCACAGAAATTGAAGGTTTTGGTGTTGTCATGCCAACTAGCCATGGTAAATACTGTTTTCATTTTCTCTTTATAAGGTCACGATGGTTTGACTGCGATCAGTTGCTGTAAACACACCGACTCCTCAGAGAAAGCCTTCTCGGTCAGACCACGCAAGGGGGGAAAGAGGTGGGAAATTTTACGAGGAAACGCTTGCAGTTATCAATAATATGCTAGTAAATTCTATTGGTAATATGGCTCATAAGACATGGGAACTTGTGAATTTAAAGCCATCGGTACTGTTTGCTGGTGTTTTGCAAGTGAAAACGTTTCACATTATTGGATTTTCATTGTACTTTTTTAACGTAATAGCCTCTCACTGCCATAGATATTAGCATTGACCCAGTTGTTTCTGTAATCTGATCAGCTTGAGATGTGCTGATTCAACCGCTGCCTATTCTTAGCAAAGCTTGTTAATCTTCAAAATGCAAAGTTGTCAAAAGCTTTTGGTTGAGGATTGTGGTTACAGATGGGACTGGATTTCGACGCTTTCGTATAAGCTATGGGAAGTGACAATATGACCAAACGACGCTAGGGCCCATCGTTAGTACAGCTGTTAACCGCTGCTACTGGGGCGAGTACTAAGGGTTGGAGGTGGGGTGGGTGAACCTCTAACCTCAGCCCCTAAAATGGGTTGCCGTGCTAAGTAAACACTCCAGCAGTGATGTTGGTGGTGGGTCCTTGTGACGGCCTAAGTGCAGGTCAAATCGTGACCCAGAGACCACGATTTATGACACTTTTTTGATTCCACCCGCTGTGTCATCTTTTTAATCTTGCCATCGTAACAGCAATGTATTAGCGGTGTATTAATTCGGATCGCTATGCGACACTTCTACTCGGAAAGCGAAACTCGGTCAGTGTCAGAAATTAAGCTAACGGAATGTGGGAAGTTCTCCTTGCCTGTCATGTCTAATCCATTTAAGATTATTTATGGAAGGAACAATTTCGTGAGCATAGATATTATAAATTTAAATCCAAAACACCCAAAACAGAGGGGTTGAACGTAACAACTGACAATGCGCCTTAGCACTTCTCCTTGAGTATTCCTATGCAAGACCTTCTAAATGGATTATGCTTTAGACCTCTATAACTTTTATGGCTGGCGAACATGCCATACGTCGTGATTCGTTTGACGTTACTAATATTTGACATGTGATCTCTACTAGTTTGCGATGAATGGCTGCACAAAATAACGTCACAAACAGATTGGTTTAATAGGAAACACTGAAGCAGATGTTTATTATTATCGGGCTGAAGACAGTTACTCTTATGATGGAATATTAGAACATCAAGAATCTGTGCTATGGCGATCAGTTAGCTCCTGAGTTCTGGTGGTGACTGTGTTGACTTGTCCCTATGTGTTGGCTTAGTTCTGGGGTGTCGTTTAATTCCACTAACTTGATTTAAATTGTGAGCTCTGCCAAGGGAAAAATGAGCGCAGCAGCCAACACTGCACACTCCTAGCAGTAGTTGTGTCAAAAGCATTTTCTCCATCGTGACAAGTGGAAAAACAACTGGCTCTGCATACATGGAATTCCGTGTCGGCCTTTTGCCAAAATCGTTGCTCTTCTCCATAAATTATTTGTAAATTTATCTCGTTTGCCGCCACGGTTCTTTTTACTGACAACATGAGTTGTGCCCAGTTGAAGTCGTTAAAGCAGTTTAGGAGTTTCCAAATTGCCTTAATGCTAACTTCTGTTGACCGGAGTTCCCCTTCTGTGAAAAACAAGAAGTTACGATAGACAAATCTAGGTCCGTTTGGAGAAGAGCATCGTCAGGAGAGGTAATTCTCCCAAATGAAAGTGGCAAGGTGGTTTTGCTCTAGGCCAATACGCAGCATTTTTAATCAAAATTAACACTGCAATGAACCTACTTCTTTAACTGGCTAGGAGACGTGATTCCCAGATCTCCATCCTTATTCCCTGTAATACATGTCACACTACCTTGATAAAAAGTCGTCAAGGCAACTTCATCGGCTTATTTTTTTCCAATAAGGTTAGTAATTATGCAACTAAAATACCAGGACTTAACTTACACATCCAAAAGGTAAATATCGAATCGCAAAATTGAGCGCAATATTGTTAAAAATATCATGCGGTCGCTTGTGCCAACTGCAAACACATTAGTGGTACACCCCTTTTTATTTCAGCAGTCAGCCTGTTTTGCCCTCTTATTGCTATGCTAATGAAATGCTCCAGATAACTCAGCCCAAAAAGTAACTAAAGGATGAACAAATGGCACTTTATGCAGAGGTTATTGCACGCCCAAATGTGAGTTGTGTACGCGCCCTGCCCACCATGACTCATGGGACGCGTAATTGGCCGTGGCACCGATTCTGTGAGACAGAACGGTACTTTTTACAGCAAGAAGTCTATTGTCACGCCCTCAAGATTTCTTATTGTTAGGAGCTCACCATCCATTGTGTGCACAAATCGGAAGTTCCCAAGTCCAATGCTCCACTAGACTGAGGTTCATAAAGTTTATGGGCTAGTATAATGAACCCACTATTTGTTCATTTATAGGAAGAGCTCTAAAAAACTAACCGTTTGCGCATTCGATAGACAGATGTACCAAGTCATAATATGTCTCATTTGGATTATTGGAGGGTGCGTTATGCAACGAAAAGTTCAATCCGTCACGCTGGGAAAGTGCACAGACATTTCTTTCAATTGTGCCTTTAGCTATGGGAACCCATTCTGAAAATACATTTCATACCTGTTTCCAAGTGGTATTTTATGGTAAATACGAGATTTTTTTACCCACAAGGTGCAAAAACAAAGGCAATATAACTGGAAAGGCGTACAGAACTTATATATCCCATTTTTGTTAAACAATGAGCAAGTTATGAATCCATGTTGTGCATAGAAACGCTGTTATTTTGGCTTTTGTCACCAAAGAGGTTAAACGGTTCGCAGTACCTTGAGACACCAGAGAAACGATTACTAGCTCCTTCAAAGCGCAAAAAGTATGTAACTTTTTATGGAGATTGTTGAGATGAGCTTTATTATTTACACATTATTTTTGGGCAGTAACAAATCGAGTCACTAACCACTATGTCTTCAATTTTCACGAAACCTTATTTCTAGACGCGTACAAAATTCAAGAGCCCTCGCGCTTTTTCCCACCATTTGCGTGCCGCTACAGTGTTTCTAGAGTGCTGACTCCTCCAAGAGATTATAGCATCCACTAAGGCCACATACAGTCCAGCTATCGGTCAGCCAAACGAAGTGTTGTGTGTATTTCAGTGCAAAATACTAAGGCCCTGTAATCGAATAGGAACTAAATTGCCTCTTACTCGAAGTAAGAATCACTTTAACAAAATTCTCGGCTTGTGCAGAACGGATTCTCAGGTAAAGTTGATATGTAATTGGAGGTAATCTATGTTAATGTTTTGCTCTTAATCAATCACACATGTTTTCTCATCATGAGAAACGCTGCTTTACTTTGAGATGCTATAATTTCAGGTCATCTATGTAGTGCAAAAACTGATTAGAAGGAGGTCCTTTCATCGTGATTACGAGGTCACAAAAATGCTAGCTCAGCAATCGTCTATTTTAAAATAAACGGCTGTTTCCCACACCATTTTTATGTCTGAGTTTTGGAAAAGACTTTCAATGTAATGGGTGTTTTGTGCCAACCTTATTATTTAGAAGAAACAATAAAGTTTTGCTTTACGTGGTTTCCCTCTGTCTTTCAGAAGTCAAGTAGCTATTGGTGTGATATGAAGATGCAGATTGTCATAGCACTACTACTTCTGCTTCTACTTTCTCTCACCGCACGCGTAAAATGTCTAAATTGTCCAAATCTCTGCCAATGCGCCTCCTCAATGATGGACTGCCAACGGCCAGGCCTTGAAGCATTTCCGCCGGCGCCTTCCGGCAGGCTAGAAATGGTCGTGGTTGCCAATCAGACTTTTCGACGAGTCACACTCGACCGGGAGGCTCTTCGACCTTACCGGAGCCCTGAACACGGTGGACAAGTGCGTTTACGCCTGCTTAAGATCCGCAACTGCAACATAGTCAGCATCGCATCGAATGCATTTGCGAATTTGGGATCACATTTGGAAGAACTTGATCTAAGCGGCAACCCCCTGCATACTATTGAAGCGCATGCCTTCACGGGTCTTCGACTGAAGTCGCTTTTTCTTAACAATCTCCAAAATCCTGTGATTCATGATCAAGCATTTTCCAGTATCATTGAGGTGCAGGGCTTGAGCCTTCAAAATTCTCATCTAACCTCACTTCCTCTGCGTCCTCTGATTGAACTTGCCAGTCTACATGGACTTAAGAGCCTTTCTATTCGAGGTAATGATATCTCCCACTTACCTCCCAATTTTGAACCTGCTTTCAGGCTTCTGCAGTCGTTTGAGTTGAGTGAGAATCCCTGGCACTGTGACTGCAATCTCCGATGGCTCATCCAGCTGCAGAAGTGGAGTCGATTGACAAAAACAAGTGGTGCATTTGTAGGAAGCAGCAGGGACTCCAGAAGTGACATAAGGCAGCCTACATGTATCAGTCCGGTCGAATTTGCAGACTACACATTCGACGAGATCACCTTGAGTGAAAGTGAGACCTTTCTAGAAACCCACCTCCATACCACAGTGCCGAAACGACCAGAACTTGCTTGTGTAACGCCTCGGGTTGAGCACATTGAGGTTGACCTTCGTCATTCGAATTCTGAACAAGAACTTGATAATATGGCCCGAATTGTCTGTCATATGAAGGGCGCTCCGGATATCTTCGTGAGCTGGTTCTATCATAATCACAACGGGGATATTCGTAACGTTACAGAAATGTCCAAACGACAGGAAGATGGGCAGATTTTGCCACATCCGTATGCTCCTCCTCAACCAAAACAAATAACAAGCCGACTGTCTGTCAAGCAAGTATCCGAAACGGATATGTACTCATGTATGGGTCAGAATATACTGGGTAACACGTCGGTTACTGTGAGTATTCATTGGTCTCCAAAGAAACCAGGCGGAGGTATGCAATTAGTACCAAATGAAGAGGTTTCAGGTGAAAGATCGGTGTCAAGAGACCTATCCAATAGCTTGATAGGTTCCATTCGACCTGCGGAATACAGCATCTTAGCAAAACGGTTTAGCTTGATGGACGTGATTGGCGCAGTGTTGGGCACTTTTCTGGTCACAATCCTTATGTTTATCATCGCCTATAGAACTTCGAAACTCTACGTTTATCGAAGATCAAAACTATGCGCCCAATCAGATCCAATACTGCGACACCATGAAAATGCAAAGCGCACTCCTGATGGGACTTCTTCTTCTGCTGCATCGTCATCATTGCTCAAGTTCTCGCAACTTCAGTTCGCCCCCGCATCCCGCTATCCTCCCGACTACACCCAAACGAGCCATTATAATCAAGGAGGAGGTGGAGGACTTGGGATGCCACCGAAGCAGCGCGACTCTGGCACCTTTACTTCGCATTCTACCTCGTCCTCGCAGAACGCAAATGGTCAAGGTGGTGCTTACGAGACAGTGTATAACGAGACCTCAACGAATCAGGTAATGTACGAAACCCCCGGTGACAACCTGGCGACCGCCGCTGCTGCTGCTGCTGCCGCGTGTCATCCGAATCAGCAACCATTTCTCTTTCCCTTTGCTCAGTCTACAGCACTGGGTGGCTATCCGCTGATGTTTGGAAGCACCCTTCCCTCCCAGAGCACGGCCACAGCCTATGCACTAGGAGTCTCTAGTCCCTCAGCTCCGACCTACATCCCTCCCCCTCCCACTGGACAGCAACCCTCGCTCCCCCGCTCCGTCCAGTCCCAAACGGGTCCCTTGCATCATGTCTACTCCTCCACAGTGCACATGGGTGATCAGTACTCAGGCCCAGGTATTTCCACAAGCGTTCAGACCTCGGCACCCGTGAGCACAGCCCCACAACATAATCATGTAACATGAGCCAATGCGAGTTGGCTAACTAGAGGATACTGTAAACACTACACTTACTCCTACACTCACTGAAATTCACGGTGCATAGACCTCTCCCCTCTCTCCACCACCAGACAGTGTACATAATGTTCTTCACTGCACTCACTGCTACCTTTCTTATGTAGGGGAGGGGTGTTCTTAACATGCGCGCTTCAATATCCTATACATGACGCTTTTCTTCGGTTTCTACATACACATACTCTACACTCCGTCTTCCATATTCTCTTCTGTTGAGCTGTTTGAAAAATGAGGCGCAGGATTCAAAAGCAGCACTTCGTATTCCACTAAGTAGTGGTTGCCCATAATAGCTCCTCTACCGGGTTATTCCCGCAGGCGTTAAGTTGGTTAAGGCTTTCCTAATATCGCTAGAGTAATAAAAGGCGAGGTTTGTGAACAAAATCTAGGACAGCCGAATGTATTGTGTGTATGCTCCATGGGAAGCTTATGTTTAATGAATAATCACAACCACACTGTGGTCATAGACACTTTTCCCACGAAAGTACTGGGAAGAAGTTTCAAGGCACAAGTTTTGAGGGGTTGTCAGTGTAACGTCTCAACTCGCTATTGTTCCCAAGCTATTCGTTCTAATAGGAAGCAGTAGAAATTTAAACATGTCACCAACTAATTTATGAAAAGCTTATTAGAATTGGGTTTAATAAATTCGTAGTTTTTGCCTTTTCCGAGATTGATTATTTTCTTCCTGATCGATGGTACGGATTGCTGCGATCCTGAATGGTTCAATGACAATTAAGGCATGAACTAATTTGATACGGACCATTTGAAAGTATTTTTCCAGTTTTTGATATTTTAACTTGACTGAGGAGATGCGAATATACTTCAAATTAGATATGACAGTAACGATAACAACGAGTCCGGTTTTATTAAATTAAAATGGATGTATTCCTCACTTCAAAAGTGAGAAAAAGCACATGTAATTAGCCTATGCAAACAACTAACTTTTGGGAATTGAGAATTTATGATTCCTGACTGTTAGGGTTGGTCATTTGCTTATGTTGCATCATATTCAGCATGATCCTTCTTTTGATAAGAATCGGCCCCGGAAAGACAGGACTAGATATACGCCGAGTGTTAGTACTTACTGTGATTTGTGAATGCAAGTAATCCGGTTTTAATCACGAGAACCAAATCACAATTTGAAAGAATTGCATTTGGGCCAGCTTCAGGTGTATTAACCTTGCTTTCACAATTTTACAATAAGGCAGTAAAGTTCCGTAAATATACCACCGAAATTAGTGTACAATTTGCGGTTTATTTTAACTTAGCTACGAAGGCCTTTCTGTGCATTAAATCAAGACCAACTCTCCTCAATAGCTGGACTTAATAGATTCCGACAATTCCTTTGAATCACTTCTGATCTACTTAGGAATTATGACGTGCTCAGACGTAAAATTAGCTAGATTTCTCCTGTTTTTGGCCCAAGAGCACTGACATTTTATTACATTTGTGCCCATCCCAATTTTTCATCGAAAGTAGTTTGAATTTGCCTAGGCCTTATTAAAAATACAGTCGCGTATGCAGGAGTTTAAACACTTGTGAGGGGATTCACACAGCGGTCTCGCTCAATGGTCGAATGATTACAGTACCAAAAAATTTGGTGACAGGTGAGAAAACGTTTAAAGTATAGCCTTAGAGATTTTATGAACCCAAAACGATCTAAGAAGCGAGTAAATGAAAATTTTGTTCAGGCAAGGGGATGATATTATCTCGAGGGTTATGCTGACAACTGGATGAGTAATGCTGCTAAAAAGATATCGCGAAATGGGAAGCTTCGAAAAATGGGAAGTTTAAAGGGATCCTTTATATCTTCAATATATATATATAATGCAGTGGTTATTTGTTTGACTCTCGGTTTTGGTAGACTGGCCACTGAGGTGCTTTATTGTTTCCAGCTTAGCCAGGTGGGCTGGTCCTTGGGTCATGCCGGCAGCCACAAGGTCTACCATACACCTACAATACGTATTCTGGCCAAGTATTATGC